TCAGGTGGGATCTATGGGTGTCTGATTTGATAACTGATTACAGCCATCCTTCTTACTCTTGCCCACTATTTAAAAAATCTCATTGAGTATGTGAGTTAATTTGCACCTTATATTAATTGTTTTATGTCAGGGGCCATTTATTCTGATGACTCAAACTGATTAACTCTCCTGAGCTGCTGGCCATACCATTTGTTCAGGACTTTTGCTGTCAGTTTTTATACTTCCTGACCCTTCATAGTTTAACAGGATCAGCTACTGTTCCTCCAGCCGTATGGACTGTGTGGGTGCTCAAGTTTTCACTTGCTGGGCAATAAACAAGGTTTTAGCTTGCAGAAATTCCCTGGAATTATAGGTCCCCAACAGAGATGTCTGCTGTGTCTGATAGTGTCATGTCATCTTATAGCTGGTCTTCAGAGTGATGCTACAGTACAGTGTTGCTCTGTGGCTAGATCCTAACAGCAGAGGGTTGTGACAATCAGATCTGATTGAAGGGTCTTCCTCTCCACATCTTCCATGAAAGAGTGCACTCCACAGTAACTTGCGGAAGAATGCAATATACAGTCACTCCTAAGTGGTCACACTCCAGACATCTGGATCAGAATGGGTTGCCATTTGCCTCCCTGAATCACCATCTAGTTTTCTCTTATCTCTTGGATATAAGGATCAGTTATACTCTCCTCCTCCTTAGAGAGAATAGTATCTCTAGAAACATTCGTTTTGGCTGTTATTATTTTTTCACTTTAATTCTGAAATATACGGTAAATGCCTAAGAATTTTATATAGTGACTACATGTTTTAAAGATTGATAATAAAATTAATGACCAGGAACTTACCACCTAATAAGAAGTAACTTTTCTAAATAATTTTGTGACTCTAAATAAATTATTAGATCTTCTTTGCCCTTCCCTAAGGTCACGTGTCTGAGGTGGGTCATATGTATATGGCCTTAGTTACCCCACAGGTTTTCTTAGCACTTAGTTTTGAGGAGCAGAGAGAGAGAAAGAGAGAGAGGAGAAAGAAGTATAAATACTATTTCTATAAAGCACTTTAAGCTGTTTGTAAACTAATGTGAAGATAATACGCTTAGTGGCTGTATAGGTCCCCATGAGCTTCTCCTTACAGCTATTTCCTAGCCCACTGCTAACCCACGTTTGTGTACATTTTTTGAAAGTCACTCACTGTTTGCTAGAAATTTTCTCTAATAAACATATCACTTAATCACTTAACTTCCCGTTAGTCGTCGATTTGCTCGAGCGGGTGCCAGTAACGTCTCCATTTGTCCCTTTCACGTGCTAGTGTAGCCCAATGGCATCTGTTCGCTCTGGGAACATGAAGAGCCTCAAACCGATCATTCATGATCTTGATGAAGAAGTCTGACCATCTGGTAGGTGGGCGGCCATGTGGTCTTTTGACATCCTGTGGAATCCAGTCGGTAACAGCTCTAGTCCAGCACAAAAATAAAGTTCTATATATGTGACGAGCACCTCATAGTTATTAGACCGCAACTTAATGGGAAACATAGTGGATGGCTTCAAAGCTCTTCAGTTCAATTTGCCAAACATTTATTGAGTGCCTACTGCATACTAGGCATTATTTGAGATACTTGAAAATTTGATCCTGAAATAGCAGAAATGCTCCCCATCTTTTTGGATTCCCCCATTACTAGACTTGTGAGCAAGCTGTGTGAGGTGGAGTGCATGGCATTAATAAACTGGAGCTGGGTTAGGGTCCTGTGCTTATTATTAAAAGTGAATCCAGAGTTTATTTAGGAAGGGTTTTTGCCAAATAGACCCTAAAAAGCCATGCTATTTCAAACTGGTGATTTCAGAACTTGGTTGGACTTATTAAGTCTAGGCTCAATGTATGCCTCGGTTTGCACTGGACAATGCTAGATAAAGTGTGGACCCCATATTCTTGATCATATCACTTTCATTCTCTAAAAGTGTCCTAGTTTTGATAATAAATGATAGTGATACACAGATCAAGCAATCTTTTTTTTCCTGCCATGAAGCAAAACACCTTTAAAATTTTAATGATTAAAATGTGAAGTGTTTGGGTTTTGGTCAGGGATCTATAGATCCCTGTTACCCAGTCCCTTTCTCTGGTCAAGTTTAAATCCACTCTTTATTCTGGACATTAGACCTATGAAACAAGTCTTCCCATTATGACACCCAGACTGTGAGGCCAGCCCTTATTTGGGACCTTTTCTTGTCATGGCAAAATTATAATTCCAGAAGTCCTCTGCACAGTACCATGGGTCATATATACTAATATTTCATTGATTAGGTACAAGGAAATAACCCAAGGAGGTGGAGCACATACCCTTGTATACATGAGACCTTGAATTATATCCCTCATACCACATGGTATACTTAAAACAGCTGGGGTGGACCTTATTAAAAATAAAGTTAGAACAAATTTACATGACAAAGACAGCATCAGGGGTGGGACATGCGGCCCTCCCTTGGAGAGGGCATTGTGGAAGGGAGAGAATATTTGGTGACTAGTGGTAATTGGGTAATAACAATCATCATATCACATTCCTAAAACTCTGCAGCCCTCCTGTGTGCCCTACTTCAGCCCTTGCACTTCATCTGCTTGTAGTATTTGTGTCAGGACAGTACTAAAGTGACTCACAGCAATTTTGGAGACCGTTTTGCCTCTATTTAGATTATTCAAGTGTCTGCAGGGCTTTCACTGTGGTGTGGAGCTTGTTTTCTTCACAGATTTTATTGAAGAGGGTGGAGTTGATGTTTTGTATTGGTACTCTGATAAAATGGTTTGGTTCTCCTTTCCTGAGCCTCCAGTACTGCCACCTGTCATAGAAGTTTACACCTTTGCACTAACACATTTTCTTCTATAGTGGGTCAGAACAAACTAGAATTTCCACCCCCACCCCCAGATTCATTTGCCTTTGTTATATGTCTTAGAATTGACTGGCATCTCCTCTAAAACAACTCCACAAATCCCTCAAATTTACTGTTTTACCAATAGGATGGAGGTGCCCATCATTGACTTCCATGACTTGCTTATTCCCTTTCAGTGAGGTTTGAAGAGAGAACAGTGTTAATGATTTGAACTCAGTTAAACATGTTCAACAATGAAATCCCATTGTTTTAAAACATAGATATGTTTCACCAAAAATCAAAATCTGTTCATGGTTGTAGAAGAGACACATTAGATATATCATCAGCCCTAGCAAATGATTTTCTGTCAGAAGCAGTGTTTCATGGAAACAGTGTTATCATTTCATCAGAATGATCAAGTACCTTCAGGATCATGTTGAAAACTAGGTGGGTGGCAAGTAGGCAGCTTGGTTAAGTAGGTGAGTAAGGGGCTGATTTGCATGTCTCAACAGAAGTACAAATGGTCTCATCTTATGGATTATTGACATAACTTGATCACTTGACATCCCGTTACTCATTGATTTGCTCAAGCAGGTACCAGTAACATCTCCATCCGTCCCTGTTGTGATTATTGGCATGCTATAGATATATCAGATGTGGCCATTGAATAATTTATTCCAACTTTCCTTCTTCAAGTACTAACCAGGCCCGACCCTGCTTAGCTTCCGAGATCAGACGAGATCGGGCGCATTCAGGGTGGTTTGGGGGCTGGAGCGATAGCACAGCGGTAGGGCGTTCGCCTTACAAGCGGCCAACATGGTCGACCCGAGTTCGATTCCTCCGCCCCTCTCGGAGAGCCCGGCAAGCTACCGAGAGTATTCGATATGCCAGACACAGTAACAACAAAGTCTCCAATGGAGACGTTACTGGGCCCGCTCGAGCAAATCGATGATCAACGGGAGGGCCTTTACCTTTACCTTTACCTTTCCTTCTTCACTCACTTATGAGAATCTGAAGGTATGAAATGTGTCAGTCATACTTCCTATTATATCTCCACAAAGCCTAGCATAGTACTGGAGATGTAATGCAGAGTAGGAAACTTAGACCAAAGCAATTAATGATGGTCAGCAAAGGCAAAACCTAGGGATAATACTTGTCCCCAAATGAGGTTTATCATAAGGAAAACAAGTGGGGTATCCTTTAAAGTTAGGAAGGCACTGGCAGGTGCAGCCTTCTGAGCTCTGTAGGGGAGAGAGGATGCTGGGGAAAACCGGGCTTTGTTCTATGAGTTAGGAGTAAGGACACTGGGCAGGAAATTTTCCTGGACCCTATTAGAGATCATGTAGTCCATGTAGTCACATGCAAATGTTGTTCAGAATAACCTTGGGGTATTAATCTGACTTCTGGAGTGAAAGGAAGAATTAGTCTAAATCACTGGTCCCCTGGATGGGGTGACTCTCAAGTATTCGACACCTCCCAGGCAGCTTCAGCTCCTGTCGCCCACCATGGTAAGTAGCTGGTTGATGTCTCCTTTAACTTTCCAAACTTGATCACTTCCCTATTCCTGATGCCTTGGTCCTCTTCATCTTCTACACAAACCATTTTTCTTTGAGGAAACTTAAATCCTGACAGTTAATCATGGGTCCTGGATTCCTAACTACGAATAGTAGGTATTATTAGGCTTCAATCATCCACAGAGGATTTGAACTTTATTTTTCTCTTAGGCTTTTGAAAGTTAATATCACCACAGATTTAACTTTTTAAAAGAAAACCTAGTTTCTATTGTTTTAAAAAGTTAACTTCCAGATTGTATAATATAGCTCTGAGATGACAGTGTGCTGTTTAAGGAATGGTAACCAACATTTTTATCAAACGGCAATGCTTTGCTTTGCCATGGGAGAATCTCTGTGGGTCATGGGCCTGTCTCTTGATGTAGTGATGTAGTAGGCTGTTTATTGTTTCTGAACATGGCTTGCACGTTATCCTCTCTGAGCTTGTCTCAACACTGGGTCCCCCAGCAGCCTCTTCCAGCCTGGCCTTCTCTGTTTGACCCCTCAGGGATGAATGGATATGAGAATCATTGTTCCCCAATCGTGTAGTGGGGGGGTTGGGGAGGATCTGCCATACTGACCTTTCATCTTTGCTTCTTTGCAGATATCTCAGTGAGCTTGTTGACCCTTGTGGTCACTGCCTGTGGCCTCGCTCTCTTTGGTGTGTCTCTCTTCGTTTCTTGGAAACTCTGCTGGGTTCCGTGGAGGGAACGTGGCCTGTTCTCTGGTAGCAAAGACAACAATCAGGAGCCTCTTAACTACACGGACACAGAGACTAATGAGCAGGAGAACAGTGAGGGCTTCTTAGACCCTCCCACTCCCTGCCCTGACTCCTCCATGAAGATCAGCCACACCTCCCCTGACATCCCCCTCTCCACCCAAGCTGGGGGCCAGGAAAATTGTGCCCATGGTGTTCGTGTACAGCGCCAAGTCACAGAGCCAACCTCATCGTCTCGGTCAGTAATACCCTCTCTTCTTTTCTGAATATAAGCATGAACCACCGCCTTCCCCTCTCTTGGAAGCAATGGTATTGATTGGCCAAGAACCTGTAAGCCTTCAGGTCTAAGTTCAGTATCAGAGACAGGACTGTGGGTCAACTCACTGCTTCTGTACTCCAGCTAGGCTCAGAGCTCTGCCTCGTCTTTGCTTATTCCATGGAAATAAGTTATTGAAAATTTAAGTAAATTCTCAACCCTTTATATGCATTATTTTATTATAGCTTACAACTTCATCTGAAATGATTTATATTATAGTTTTTGCACTTCGCAGAAGACACCTAAGTAGCAAAGCCATGTACTGAGAGGCACCCAGATTTATACCCTGATTTCAGCCAATACTAAAGAATTGAAGCAAGCTGGGAGTGGAGGGTAGGGTGACAGCAGGGAAATTGGGGACATTGGTGGTGAGAAATGTAGCACAGCTAAAGGAAAGAGAGTTGGAACATTGTATGATTGAAATTCAAACATGAACAACTTTGTACCTGTGATTCTCACAGTGATTCAATTAAAAAAAGATTGGTAAGAAGCAAGATTTGGTTCTTAGTCAGATGAAGAGGCTTAACATGTGTGACATTGAACTCAAGACTTAATCTCTTCATTTTTCCATTTCATCTTCTGTAAGGGAGCAATAGTGATGGTACTCATGTGTAGATGGCTTTTAGGGATGAAATGATAACATATGTGTCTTGTATTTTGCACAGATCCATACTCCAAAATGAAGATGCCATTTGCTTTCAGTGTTGCTATTATCACTATCCTTAGTACGGACAAGGGCCTCTCCCCAGAGTCAGATGTTACATAAGGGTGGCTTTCAGGTTAAACATCCATTTCTGAGTTATTGGAAATTGAAAAAAAAATCACTTTTGGTAAAAGATTCCAGGAAAAGAGACTCAGGAAATAGCTTTTTAAAAACAAAAATACTTGCTTGAATGATAGCCAGAGGAATTAAATGTGCTGTTACTGGGAAAGTATGAGCACAGTCTAAGGGTATTTTTTAAAATCTTTTTATTTGTTCTCTAGAAACAGAAATAAGATTTTTGCCCTTTTTTATGTTAATTAAGTTTATCCTAGAGGCTCTGCTCATTCACATTAAGTGGGATGGAATATGACAGTATATAATTTAATTTTTCCAGAAACCTATTTTAGCTTCATTTCCAATTCTGAATAAAGGAGCTAAACCTAAAATATTCCTCAGTGAGGAAAGGGATGGTTGTTTGCCATTTGATTTAGAAGAAATCCTCAGATTTTATCACTTGGATTTTGCCTCCAATTGAAGGTTTAAATATAACGAGTTCTGTTTGATGTAGCCATGGAACTCGTGTGCTGATGCAGTTTTTTAATAAAGCCCTTCCAGTATCTCAATAACTAGAACCTCTCAGAAGGAATTTCCTGTCAAAATAGTCTTTTATACAGTTTTATTCTATGTATTAATTTTCCTGATCTAGTTTCCTTCAATACAGGATGATGGTAGTGTTAGATTGTGGATCTGAGGACCCTGCCAAAATTAATGAATTGATAACAATAATATTACTATCATTATTTTGCTGTTTATTTTTTATATAAAAAGGTATAAGCATCCTGTGTATCAGAATTGTTTCATTTACAAATAATAATTTGTAAAGATAAACTTTATTTATAAAACTCTTGGTACCTCCACCACTGATTTGTGTAATTGGGTAGAAATTAAAAAAAATAAAAAGTTAAGAAATTACTCTTGCAAAATAAATTTTTATTTAGATTTGTTCTAGTGTGGGAGTCATGCAATTAACTTTTCTTTTATGATGGCAAAAATCCGAATTACCATAAGAAAACTAAATTATTTCCAGCTGAATTTGACCTAATAACAATAATTTGCATCCTTATTCATTTAAAACATTCTTATCTAAGTTACTGCTGACCTAGTTTTATGGTTTAAGTCTGGAGATACGTATCTTTGACTAATGATCTTTCCATAATTAGAGAGGTATATAGTCTAATTCTTTAGGGATTCCGTTGTATTATGCATACACATACAGACTTCACACTGACAGAATGGGAAAATAAATTAAATTTACTTCATGTCCCAAAGCATTTTTAAAATAACTTTTTAATCCCTGTTTGGAGAGAAAGGAGGTGCAGTTTGAAGAAGTAGCTATGAACAGTCTGCTCATTTCCTTATTCTATCCTCTTCTTTCTGTTTGCTCCTTGCTTTCTCACTGTTGTCTCTTTCTCACTGGTTCCCTGCTACATCATCACTTGTCCTGAAGTCACCAAAACATCTTTTGGGCCCAGAGCACATATAAGTCTTAGACTCTCCATGAAGAGCATTCCCACCATTGCAGTCATTAACATAAATTCTGCCACAGCATTTCTACTGGAACGCTTCCTGGCTTTTTCAGTTCAGATATGTGAGCCCCATGCCCCATTGATTTCTTCCAGACTGTCCTAAAATGATCCTTTGCTTCTTCTTCTAAGAATATATCTGGTGAGATGACTTTCTGTTGTATTTACAAGACCAAGCACATTAGGTGCCAGAGAGATAGTACAGTGGGTAGGGAGTTTGCCTCCCACGCAGCGGACCCTGGTACAACCCCCAGCACCCCATATGGTCCCCTGAACACTCTGTATTAATTCCTAAATACAGAGCCAGGAGTGACCCCTGATCATCACCAGGTGTGGCCCCAAAACCTAAATAAATTAAAATAAATTAATTTTTAAAAAATCAAACATATTAGCATTTTGTTTCTAGATAGCTTAATTGCTATCAAAACCCTACACAGTTCCTGTTAATTATTTCCAGTTTCGATAACTCCCTTTTTGTCCAATGACTGAATACCCTGCAAATTTTTAGGGTTTTGTTTTTTGGGCCACGTGCCATGATGCTTGGTAGTTTCTTCTGGATCTATGCTCAGGAGTCAGTCTAGGCAGTGCTTGGGGGACCTTGTGGTGCTGGGGATCAAACCCAGGCTTCTTTCATAAAAATTATGTGCTCAGCTGATTATACTATCTCTCAGCTCAGAATGTGGATTTTTTTCTCCAGAATTAATACGAAAATGTTTTAAAGTTTTCTACTCCAAGTATATAAAAATCTCTGGGCTCTTCAAATAAAAGAAATCTGGAAAGTCCATCTGATTCATGTCCTAAGACATAAAAGCACTACCTGTTTTGTCAAAGTCTTCTTATAGTTACTATGTAATACACTGATTTTTTGCAAAAATGTCAGTTACTGCGCTTGCAACTACTTCTCAGGTCTATCTAATCCTGTGTCACTCTGTTTCTAACAACTCTCAACTTCACCTGCAAGTAACACAGCACTGAGGCCGCTCTTAACATAGATTTAACATAGACTCAATAGGAACTTTATCTGAAAAAACTCACTGCATTGAGGCTGCCTTTCTCTTCACTCTTTCAGTATCCCAGTACCCTTCTTGCTCTGGAACCTGTTCCCCTGGCCTAAAATATTTTCCTTTTCTTTGCCACTGTAGCTCCTTTGTAACCATATTAGTCCAGCTTAAAGGCACCTCCTCAGGAAGGCCTCCCTCTCTAACATACGTGCTCTTTCATTAACTCCTTCCTATTTGCACTTCTCTTACACGTTTCCCTGCTTTTACTTTTCCCGGGGTAACTCTGTTTCTAAGTAAATGAATATTTCTTTGTTTATTGCCTGTGTCCATGTATAGATGAGGAGCTCTTTGAGCATGTCCATTTTGTTTATATATATATGTATATATATATAAATCATATGGATTGTTTGGGGTCATAAGTAAGGCCCAAAATCTAAATGTAAGGCCCTTAATAAGCATGAGATCTGGGCCACATGGCCTGGTGCCAGTTACATCCATATACATGCAACCCTCTCATGTAGCTGAATTTTACCATGAATAACTGACAAAAGCACATTTGTCTATGTCAAACCACTTTTCTTGTGTTCTGCTGACAAGAATGGAGAAGGGACAAAAACATAAACTCAGTGGGTTCTCTAATGGTAGGAAACTTGACATTTTCTCTTTTATTTATTTTTTTATTGTGGAGGTGGTGATACCTAGAAACTTATGTGAATAACTAAACTCCTGGGATTCCAGAAAATTTTCAATCAATGATAAAATAATTTTGGTTTCAAAAACTAACTTTTTAACATATATATTAAAAATTGATTATGAGTAATCCTGTTCTAATGCATTTTAAGATTTACATAAAATAGATAAATCCTACAAAGAAAATTTTGTTAAGAGTGAAGAGAGGTAAGAAAAACTTAAGAGGAGACTCTGATAGGTCTATAGTAGTATACAAATATTTTAGCCTCAGAAAGGGAATATTAGTTTTTTTCAGAAAATAATGTAGATACTGCTTCAATGTCCAGCTTAATATTTTAAAATTCTAATAAAATTCTCTATGGATGTTTTTAAAAGCACCTTGTCAGATTTATAACTTTTGATATAAATTAAATGCTATTTTATTAGTGTATAAAATCCCTTTGCAGGATAAGAGTAAACAAATCTTTCTTAATCTAGCAGAGGGCACCATGAGTGAATGTCATACTTAATGGACAGGCATTTTTTTAAGTTTGGTTGTTATAGTTTGAATATCATGCTTACAGTGTTGTAGTTTATATATGTATATATATAAATCACATATATACATGTCTATACCTACCCCACATCTCTACACTAACGATGTGCTCAAGGCCCCTGATCCCCACCCCATTATCTCTCATCCATCTCTTCTCACCCCCCCATTAGTTTCTTTCCTTTTCTGTAGTTTTCATTTCTATAATCAAATTTCAAGGGTAGTCTGGGTTATAAAGCTATAAGCTAGTAACAGAAAATTCTATGTAGTTTAGAAAAAAAATTATTCTTAAGCTGGCACACAGCTATTTAAATTTCAGGGTGCTATATGTATATGAATAAATTTTTAAAAATAAGTTTACACAGATCTTTATATTTCACTAGTTGAATGACCCTTTTAAATAGCACATTAGTTTATAAAGTACATTAAACCTTTAAAGCTCCAAGGCTACATGTTAGTAAATTTATTTCCTGATGCCAAACCTTCTTTTTGAGCTTTAAGCTTTGGAGAGCAGCTTACTTAGATTGATGAGCATTTTGAATTTAAGCCAAAAGAAAAAGAAAACTCCTCAGATCTAAGCTCTTAACAGAATCTAACGGTCTACCTACACCCCAGGCACAACTTTCTGAAAGACCCGTAGCTAATGAGGTTATAACTATGTTCTCTCTTGTTCTTCACTGAAGGCATAATTCAATCCGAAGACAACTCAACTTGTCAAATCCTGACTTTAATATCCAGCAGCTTCAAAAACAGGAACAGTTGACTGGAATTGGTCGAATTAAACCCGAATTATATAAGCAGAGGTCATTGGATAATGATGATGGAAGAAGGAGTAACAGCAAAGCCTGTGGGAAACTGAACTTCATATTAAAATATGACTGTGACTTGGAGCAGCTCATAGTGAAGATTCACAAAGCTGTCAATTTGCCAGCCAAGGACTTTTCTGGGACTTCAGATCCTTATGTCAAGATCTATTTGCTTCCTGATAGGAAAACAAAACACCAGACTAAAGTTCACAGAAAGACCCTGAACCCTGTGTTTGATGAAGTGTTTTTGTTTCCAGTTCCCTACAATGACCTTGAAGCACGGAAGCTTCACTTCTCTGTGTATGACTTTGATAGGTTTTCTCGACATGACTTAATCGGCCAAGTTGTGGTGGATCACTTCTTAGACTTGGCTGATTTCCCCCGGGAATGCGTCCTTTGGAAGGATATCGAATATGTCACCAATGTGAGTCTGGCTTTATTTCATTTGGGGGAAGCTTCTTGGAAACATTGCACTTTATTTTGGGAGCGATAGGGGTCAGAGTTTAAAGCTCATGCCAAAGTACTCCTTGTACGTTTCCAAAAGCAGTTTTTCAACAATTACTGAATTCATTTTGAAATTTTTAAGAATCACTTGTAAAAGCAGTATTCAAGATACATTCTCTTTTGTACTTTCTAATTCTTAACTGTTCCCAATTAGACAGTGGGTTTTATTTGCTCTTTTCACCACATTTTCTTTAGATCTTTCTTTGGTTGTCTGTGCTAAATGGATTCTGGTATCCTATTAACTATAACCTGTGAAAAGAGACCATTGCCTGACTTTGAGTGTTTTGCCTATATTCTCAGTAAAATCATCCATAATTGGATATTCCTTTTAATGCTAAAAGTGAAAACAGGTAAGTAGAGTTGGATTTATACCTTTAAAACACAGAATCAAACTTGTAAGGAGGTAAGTCTGAAAGATCTTCAGATATTGGCAAAACTAATCTATGGAAGTTCAAATCCAGTTTAAAACTCAACAGAGTATAGAATGCTATGTAGTGATGTGATAGACCCATGCTCACATTTTAAACATGAGGGTGCAATGGTGATATTTTTACTCCATTCACATTCTTTTCACTACCTGCAAAGGTGCATTAATGACTCTTGAAATAGACAGGAAATTTAGACATTCTTAGGTACCTCTGATATTTTAATGTCACTTGTTTCTTTCAGTTGTCCAAATTCCTTCATGTAACTTTTTAAGCTTGTCTCCTTGAATACAAGCCTTTATGAGGGCAGCCTGGTTGTTTCTGTGCTTTGGTGTTCAAAAACACCAAGCATCATTATCCTTTCTTGGTTCTAAGAATGATACAGATTGAATGATGAATCATCTCGTTGAGTAAAACTCTTTGCTCACAATGAGAATACACAAAATCTCTCTCTGCATGCAAATATTCATACAAGAGCTTTCCCATCTTTAGCTACTTTTGTGAAAAATCACTCACAATTTGGCTGCTGTAATAGTTACTATCTCTCCACATGCTATAAGATACAATACCAGTGTTGTTACTCAAATAAGTAAAAATGTAGAATGGAATTTTGTGCCTCTATGGTGATGAGGGAGGAAAAAAGAAAGTCAAGCAACCAAGTTGGTGAAACTAAGGTAATTTGAGATATATCACATCTCTCAAAAGAACAGACCTCTTTGATTATGACACAATATATTATCTATAAAATCAAAAGTAAATGCTAGGGAATATTGCAAATCCCAATTGCTAAAATCAAACAACAGCATGAGAAGCTTTACAGAAACAAAATGGAGATAGCATTTATTCTAGGATATTAATGACTCAAGAATGAGACATAAAGTATTGGCTACCTGTCTACCTATCTTTGGATATAAACTGAGCCACTGCAAACCGACAAGAATGAGAATTGGACTTAAGTTTGACTTCAATTTGGTAGAGAGAGGTTGGTCACATTATCTATTGCTATTGGTTTATATTTTTGACATGGAGTTCTTTTTTTTTACAATGGAAAGTTCTTTTCTACAGTGGCTGTACAAATTAATACATCTATATTTATATCACTGACTGTACATGAGTGTAGAATTGTTCATAATTTGTGCTTCTTTACTTGTCAAGAGTGATATGTTTATTGGTCATTTACATTTTCTTTCTTTCTTTTATTTATTTTGGGTCACACACAACCACGCACAGGGGTTACTTCTGGCTCATGCATTCAGGAATTACTCCTGGTGGTGCTCAGGGGACCATATGGAATGCTGGGAATAGAACTCGGGTCGACCACATGCAAGGCAAACACCCTACCTGTTGTGCTTTTGCTCCAGCCCCAGTGCTGCCGTGCCACAGTGCTACGGTGCTACTTTTAATGTTTTTCGGGACACACCTGGTGGTGCTCAGGATTTGCTCTGGGCTCTATTCTTAGGGATCATTCCTGGCACTGCTAAGGGGACCTTATGTAGTTCCAGGGATCAAACCTGGGTCAGCTATGGGCAAGTCAAATTTCTGTACTATCTCTGCAGCCCACACATGTTCTATTTTTGTGAAATTTTTATTCAGTACTTTTTCTGTTTATGTTTTGGGGCTACACACAGTGGTGATAAGGACTTACTCCTGGCTCTGTGCTCAAAATTCACTCCTGGTGTGGATGGGGGGAACATATTAAATGCAAGGGATTAAACTAGGAATAGAAACACTCTACCCAGCTGTACTATCTCTCAAACTCCTTTTATGATACTTTCCCCCCCTATCATTTTCCTCTCTCTCTCTCTCTCTCTCTCTCTCTCTCTCTCTCTCTCCCCTTTTGGGTTCTGTGGTTTGCAAAAGAGGCATTGAATGGCAATCATGTTCAGTCTACAGTCTACTTTCAGCATGCACCTCCCATCCTGGGAGGATCCTCCCAACACCCTTTATTTGGTACTCCCTTCTCTATCTGAGCTATGGGTACTCCCTTCTCTATCTGAGCTATCTCGACTATTCTTGTGTGTTAGTCTCCTCTTTTGTTACTTTATGTCCCAGATGAATGCAATCTTTCTATGTCTGTCCCTCTCTTTCTGACTCATTTCCCTTAGCATGATACTTTCCATGTAGTACCACTTGTATGTAAATTTCATGGCTTCATCTTTTCTAACAGCTGCATAGTACTCCATTGTGTAGATGTACCAAAGTTTCTTTAACTAGTCATCTGTTCTCTGGCACTAAGGTTTTTTTTCAGATTCTAACTGTTGTAAACAGTGCTGCAATGAACAAACAAGTGCAGAGGTCACTTCGACTATACTTTTTTGCCTCTCTGGGATATATTCCCAGGAGTGCTATTGCTGGGTCAAATGGGAGCTCAATTTCTAATTTTTTGAGAATCGTCCATACTGTTTTCCAAAAGGGCTGAACCATTCGGCATTCCCACCACATTGTCTCACTTTTTATCACTGTGTACTCACTTGATGGCATCTTTTAGCTTATAGAGGTTTTCATGTTTAATGTCAATATATTTCATTGTGAATTCTTTTATATCTTATTTTAAAAATTCCTTTCTTACTCTATGTCATGAATATATTTCTTCCATATTCTCTAGTCAAGAATTTTAAAGTTTTTATCCTTTCTAATTATATTCACATTTAATACTAATCACTGTTCATATATCAAGAATAAAATTGTTTATAAAGTACAACATAAACATCTAATGTTAGTGAGCTGAGATTGCCACAACAAAATACTAGCTGCTAAAAACAACAGGATTTTTAATGTTTTTAGGGTGAGAAGTCCAAGCTCAAGGTCATCAAGTTTTGATTCTTGATAAGAGTTCTCTTCTGGCTCTCAGACAGTTCTATTTTTTAAAATGTTTTTCACAGAGAGGAAAAAGAAAGTTCTGGTTTCTCTTCCTCTTTGCATAAGGACACTATCTCTTCATGAGGGCAGGGGGTTCCTACACACACAACCTCATCTAAATTAACCAATGACCTTCTAAGATATTTGCCTCTAAATATTTGGGGGATTAGGGCTTCAACATATGAAGTGGGGAAATATGTCTTCAGTCAATAATATATCCATAATATATTTATATTTCCATATAATTAACCAATATCTAACTGATTACTTCAATAATTTAAAGGTATTTCCGCATTTCTGCCCTGTATATTTTTCCCATATGTGAAATGTTCTGTTTCTGGATTCTATTTTCTGTCAGTCTTTTTATTTGACTGTCTCTACCAAGAGTATATACTTATAAAGTACTGTCATTCTCTTACACAATTGAACATTTAGAAAAGTAATTTAATCAGCCAGCCTACTTTTACTTCCAATTATTTTTTATAATTTTTTTTAATTGAGGAAACACTGAGTTACAAGAGTATATATGTTTATAACATTTAAGGATAGAACCAGAGAGATAGCACAGAGGTTAAGGTACTAGTCTTGCATCAGGCTGAGCCCAGTTCTGTCGCTGGCGTTGGAAATGGTTCTCCGAACACCACCAGTGAAGTGAGCCCTTTACCGGTCTTAGAACCACACAGTCAAATGTGGCTCCAGAAAAGCAAGCAAAGAAGTTTTAGGGATAAATGTTACAGTACCACCATAGTGCCAGCATCCCTTCACCACAGTCTGTTAGACCATTTCTGCCCACCCCCATGTCTTGGCAATCTTAGTTTTATGGTAAGAATCTAAGGGTTTGTTTTTATTAGATGTCATCTATTCCCTTGCTTTGTTCCTTATATACACATGTGAATGAAGTCATTCCGTGTTTTTCTTTTTCCACACCTTTCACTTAAAGCTTGATTCCTTGTTTCATTCACATCAAAGAAAAGGGGAAAGGCTGGAGAGATAATTCAGAGAGTTTAGTGTATGTTTTGCATCAAGGAGGCCTGGATTTGAGATCCCCCGCAATGAATGTTCTCCTGAGCACCAGCTAGGAGTAGCCTGTGAGCACCATTCCACACCCTTATACACACAAGAAAAAAAGTTAAATTAAAAAATTATGACATCAACTTAAATTTTTTTTCTGGTATGTGTTTGGATATGTATCTAATCCTTAATAATTTCCATTTATTTTGTTCTTTAACAACAAGTCTCACAATGGAGATGTTACTGGGTTCGCTTTAGCAAAATCGATGAAAAGGAGTACAGTGACAGTGACAGTGACATTTTGTTCTTTAAAGCCTTTCATTCAAGGCTTATACATTTTCTATATGAGAGTTTTTCCATACATGTTGTTAGATATATTGGTAGGCATCTAATTTTTTGTTAGTTAAAATAATACCTTTTAGAAAACTTCCCTCTTTCTTGTAATTTTATTCAAGGTGCTATGATTTACAATGCTGTTAATGATTGTGTTGTGCATACAATATTCCAACACCACACCCACCACCAGAGTGTTTGCTTCCCACCACCAGTATAAATCCAGTAATGCTCCAACAGGAAAAAAATGTTCTTGTTAATTATTGCTGTTGTATAGTAATATTTAACCTTC